TTGTTTCAGCTGAGTTGTGTTGCCCATCACACAGATGAGGGTGTGTTTGACTGTGCTGACTGCTCTTACAGCATTATCTTAAGTTTTGTGATATCAGGTGTTGTTGGTAGGGGCCAGTTGTTGGATCAGATGATCATATGTTAACCCCAGCTTTCTTTTTCCTTTCTTAAAAGCAAGCTTGTGGCAGCAAAATAAGGGAAGCCTGACAGCATGGCACAAAGCCTGAAACATTTGAAGGCCCATAAAACACACTTCAAATGAACACATTTTGTAAAATCTCATTAGTTTTTGAGGCTTGATTCATGACAGCTGAATCCTCAGGACTGGCAATATTCATATAATGTAAAAGAGCTATAAACATTAAAGAAGTAAAAATGCTCAAAGCTTGTACATCAGTCACCAGCTGCAGCCAAGCTATGGCTCACTGGAATTTATTGCAGCGTCTTCAAGCGGAGCAAGTGGTGAAGTGCTGCTATTACTTCTGATTGCAAATGGACTGGGTAAGAGCACTGGTGCTATAAACACCCCATTATAGAATGGGCTGCACAGTACAACACCTACTATATTAATAACATTCAATTCTTTGGATTCAAAAATAGTGCTCTTAGGAAGAAAAGCAATTGCATTCTAGTCTGACACCTAAAAGGAAATGTGGGAAGGAAATAACTGTAACTGGCACAGCTAATAATGGATTATGATGTTACCCTCCTGAGAATGGGAGGGAATTGTCCTGCACTTTAGATTGGAACTAGCCTGCTTTCTCAAACATAAATCTGTACTAATCCTTCTAAAAGCTAAAAAAAAAAAAAAAAAAAAAAAAAAAAAGGTGAGCTTTTGGTTCCCATGGAGCTCCTCTGTGCCATTTTGATGAAAGAAAAGGACCAGAAAGCTGCCTCTATGGTTCACCTGAAAGCACCCCTCTGACAAGGGAACCAGAGACATCCCTCCTACTTACCCCATGCACAGTGTCTCCACAGCTGCTGACAACAAGAAGAGGCTGGAGCAACCTGCCCTTTGGTAGGCTTTGCCCAACATAATGATCCCTCAGGGCCTTTGGCAATTCAAAGATTAGAGAGCTCAGCTGAACACAGAAGCTGCACCAATTTAGCTTATATCATGGCTTTGATTTGCATTCCCAGAGCCAGTTCAAGGTGTGGTTTCACAGGTTCCTAGGTCTCTGTTCCCATCCCCTTGCCAGAGGCCTGTCTCTCCCAGCAGAGCTGGTGGCCATTGCCCTGGGTGCTCATCTCAGCTGGTTTTGTGCAAAAAACCCCACAAACCTTCCCACACACCTGCCTTCATCAGCCACCCGTGGGAGGACACTGGACTTTTGCCCTGGAGGAACTGGGGCACAGGGAGGTTTGTTTCTGCCAGCTCACAGCAGGAGGATGACGACAGCACAAGCGCTGACTAAACACCTGAGCAGGGACTCCTCCAACATAGCAGCAAGGCTTGTCAGACTTTGTCAGCCAGCACAGCTGCTCCAGAGCCCCAGGGAGTTCAAACCCTTCCTCTCCCACACCCCAGCATTATGCCCAAGCCACATGAGTGTGGGATAGCAGGAGAGGAAGGGAACGCTCTCTGTCTCATCCCATGATTCTTTAACTGCTGAAATTCAGGCAGGAGGAGCAAAGTGAGGCTTTAGGTATCACTTCCCACTGGTGGATCTCAAAGGGGTTTTGGAGGTAGTTTTAAACATTGCATAGACACTGCACCAATAGCATTGAGTAGATGGCTGATGTGATGGAGGCCATTTAGCAAGCAAATTACAGAGCTGGGAAAAATGTTACCTTAGACCATTTCCAGTAACCCACTTACTTCACAGTGCCTCCAGCTATGAACTCCTCTGGCAGAGACAGACCATAGCTAAATGCTTGCATCTTCCTCCTATCCCTTATCCAGGCATCAGGCTTTAACCAAACCTGTCTTACCCCTGCCTAGGCCCCCTTCCACCACCCAGATCATGCACAAGGGGCCTTACATGACTGCACTCGCCCCCATACACCCTGGAGGAGTGGGATGGGACATACTCATGCTTTAGACACACCAGTTTATTCATCCCAGACCAACCTTGCATCTTTGGTTAAATAGATGAGACATTACACCTGGGCTACAACAAAAAACCCCATGACCTCTGGGAAACAAAATGGCTGAAGAGAGGGCTAAAGGTTTGTTTAAACCTTTGTCCCGTCATTTTTTCAGACTAAGTAGTGCATGAGCACAGCTGAAGATTCAGCCTATTTTGTAGCAAGTGTAGATTTAATAAATCTGTCTCAAGTCCAGTTGTACAATGAGAAGCTGTTATAATGGCAGGAAATCGGCTGAGCTCATATTCTTCCCTGAGACAAAAGTTCTGGGCACAGCCAGATGAGAAAATAGCTACAGCTTTTGCTAAAGAGCCAGTGAAATAAAATCACTGGAGGAAGTACTCCAAAACCCTTCAATACAGCAAACTATGAAGGCAAGCAGTACAAGCAAAGATTACATCATTGCCAGAAACAACCAAATAGCCCCATCAAGGTAATTACCATGTGTGAGGCAAACAACTGGATCAGAGTATGGGTAAATATTGCTAAACCAGAATACTGAACATGTTATCCTGGAGAACAGAATGGGAGCATTTCAAGGCATATGTTAATTCATCAGCTCTCACCATTATTCTTGATCAGAAGTGCTTGTGTTTCCACAGTGCCTTGGGAAGCTGTGAACATCAAAGCCCAGACATACACACACACATCCAGGTCCACCAGCTCTACCAGGCAGGTATGAATCTCCAACAAGCAGATGATAACAAATAGCAGGAAGCCCATGAAAATACATCTTAAGCCAGCTCTGGGAACAGGAATCAAAGCCACAGTTTGAGTTACTTTGATTCAGCCCCTGTGTAGAGACTAGAAACTGAAAATCAAAGTGGGGCTTGGTACCTTTTTAAAGGAGCCAATTCACCACAGCCTAAATGAAAAGAGTTAGTAGCTCCCACAGAAGTGCAGGTACAATTCTCAGCTGAGATGTGAGAAGCTCTTTTCTCTTTTCAGAGCTGGTTACACAAAGAAGTTTACTTTGAAACATGTGGTGCCTCAATGTAATTGCTTCACATAAACTAGTATGCAGGAGCAGCCTCCAAATGAACACAGGGCTTCTTCCCGAGTCATTGTTTCTGCTTGGAGAAAAAGAGCGAGGATGCTTCAGCTGGACACCAGGGTAGCTGGTGGAGTAGCTATGTGTGGGATAGCTCCAGTGGCACCCAGTGGGGCAGGTGACAGGGCATAGCCAGAAGTCACAAATTTCCACCCAGATGCTTGTGCCATCAAATCTCTGTGATTCACCTTTTGGGTGTTGTTGTTGTTCAAGTTACCAACAAGTTACTCTGAAGAAACCCAGAGTAACTGGGTGTAGGTGGCCATCACTGTGGGGGCACTTGGCATACCAGTGTCAGACAGCTGCAAGTTTTCCAGACAGGCACAACTCTTCCATGTAATTTTAGCTGCCATTTTCCCAGCTTCATCTTCCTTACCCAGCAGCAGTGCCACAAAGTACAAGGATGCAGAGGAGAAGCAGAAGGAGTTCAATATGGTGCTCTTCTGGTAGAAGTGCATTTCATGTCTTCCCTCCTTGTCAAGAGCTTGGGAGAGTGGAGAGGAGTATGCTGGGGGCCACTACTGGCCCACAGAGCATGCTTCAAGGTGTGAAAAAACACTTTTCCACATACAGTTACCAGAGAGATATTGCACCAGACTGCCTACTCAAAAGGACACAGTCATCACCATCCAGAAAGGTGTTGTCAGGGCAGCATGTGGAAATCCCCAGGCCTTGGAGTGTTGTTAGTGTCACCTATGAGGGTCCCTAATTTCACTGGCCTGGCACAGCCCTTGCTGTTGTTGTGCCTGAGCCAAGGCTTGCACTTAACAATACAACCAGGTGCAGGTAACAGGGTGCAGGGTACCCTCGATGGGGCAGACCACCCAAGAACAGGATCACTCCTGCTTACCTGGACCAGTCCCATCTTGGGCTATGCCACTGATGGTACCTCAAGCCCCACATTTTTCCACTACAACTTCATCCAGGAGTTGTCTGCTCTACTTCAGGCCTTCTGAAAACCTTAAAGAGGTCTTAGCTTTACAGTGTATGCAATTAATCAGATTGTCACCTGACTCCACTGCTGGAATAAAAGAGGACTGACATCCCACTTAAGAATGTCATTAGCACTGCCAGGGTTTCTTCTTTAGTTTCTAGAAGGTTCTGTGAGCACGCTCTATGTGTGGCTCAGTAAGGTGTTGGTGGTGCATCTGGACCATAGAAAAACCCATTCAATGACTGCAGGAGCAGTGACAGGCCAGCAGTGCAGTGCACTCCCCATCACCACAAGCTGTGTGGAGACACCAGCCAGGCTCCATGAGCTGAGGGCAATCACTCCCCTCACTGCACCAGAGAGAGAGGGACTAGCATCAGCTGGGGACCAGGGTTTAGATGTTCTAAGGCTGGCTTAGCTGCCTGTGTTCATCCATCAGAGTGGCAACTTCCAGAGCATGTGTCAGACAGCCCTCCTACACTGATGCGGAGAGCAACACCTTGGATACAGGCCTGACTTAATACTGGGAATATTTGTCAGGATTTATGGTATGCAGTGTCACTGATACAGTGACACGACCTGGTGAGCTGTGTGAGACATCTCCTTTGCACAAATGATGTGCAAATTCTGCATGCTTGGCAAGCTTTTATTAATTTTAAATAAAATGGGGAATGTCAATTAACTGTGGGAAATATGTCAGCCTTTGTTAATGCACTTTGTACTCCTTTATTAATTTTTCATACTGCCATGGATTCAAGTCTGCTTGGGGAAATACCAGTCATACACAATGCATTTCCCTGCAGGGTCCTGTGTTGGGAGGAGGGAGTGGAGAGGAGGGGGAAGCTTTTTGTTATTGCTCAGTAAGATTTTCAAACTGCCTGAGTACACTCACGAGTGTATAAAACTGTGCAGCTTGTGCATAATCAGTTTGAGTGCCTGAGTGCTGGGCTGTGGGGCCTCTCTCCCTGCCTGCAGCATCATTCCAAAAGCTTAGGTTCTTTTATAGGTCATGATCAATTTTATATATTGGATTACATGTTGGATAATGCTGGTGCATTAAAAAAAAAAAGTAAAATTCAGCTTTAAAATTACAAATGTTATACAAAAGTTTTTTCTCCCTGGAAAGTGCAGTGCTTTAATGTTGTGCAAACAGAGCACAGGCAAGGGGCTTAATAAAGGACAAGGGAGATTCTGGTATACAGACCTGAGTGCTCTTGGCATGCTGTGGAGTCTTCCAGTATGTGTGACCAGCTTTCCTTTCCAGGAATCTTGGGAACATGTGACGTGGTGTGATGTGGCTCTGTAATCTGCTCACAACATCAAAGGTGGATCCAGCTCCATGAACAGTTTTTGCACTGGTTCTTTGACAAGGGAGAGGTCTGCCTTGCATTCCATGGACTCTGCTCCTCCCAGAGCATCACACCTCTGTCCTGCACATTTCCACATTTCTCGGGGCTCAGCTAAGGTCACCAAATGTTTCTTTCTTTGTTTTTTCCTTTCTTGACTCTCAGGCCCTCTCAGGCCCAGACCTTGAGATCTGTGATCTCAAGAAGTGTGAGGCTGGAAAGGAGCAAAGTCAAAACCCTGAATTTTGCAAGAGCGAACTTCCCACTCTTTAAGGAGTTGGTGAATCAGATTCTCTGGAAAACTGTCCTTAAGGACAGAGGTGATGACCACTGCTGGCAGCTCTTGAAGGCCCCTTTTCTTAGAGTGCAAGAGTGCTCTTCCAGTGTGTAGGAAATCAAGCAAGGCAGGCCAGAAACTGACATGGATTTGCTCCTCAGACTGAGTAAGAAAGAAGTGCACTGCCAGTGGAAGCAGAGACAGGTGACCTGGGGAGAGTACAGGGACACAGTTCATATGTCTAGGAATGGGGTCAGGACAGCCAAGGCAAAGCTGGAACAGGATTTGGCAAGGGATGTAAGGAATTACAAGAAGGGATTCTATAAGGGCATAGGTCAGAAAAGAAAAGGCCAAGGAGAGTGTAGCCCCTGTGATAAGCAAGAAGGGTGACACTGATATGGAGGAGGCTGAAGTAGTCAATGAGTTCTGTGTCTCAGTCTTCATTGACAGTCAGGCTTCCCACTTCTCTCAAGTCCCTGATCCTCTGGGTGGGTAGGGGGGAGTGAAGCCCCTCCCTCTATAAGTGAAGAGCAGTTCAGGATCACTTGATGAATCTGAATAGCCACAAGTCTATGTGACCTGAGGCGATGCATCCCAGGGTCCTGAAGAAACTGATCAGTGTTGTTGCTAAACCACTTTCCATCATATCTGAAAAGTCATGGTGGTCAGGTGAAGTCCTTGGTGACCAGAAAACTAGAGACATCACTTCCATTTTTAAAAATCAGAAAAAGGAAGATCCAGGGAACTACAGACCAGCTGATCCTGGGAACACCATGGTGCAGAACCTCCTAGATGATCTGCTAAAGCACATAAAAGAGAAGGAGGTGTCTGCCAGCACATCTCTACTGAGAGAAAGTCATTCCTGACCAGTCTAGTGGCCTGTGTTGGACTGATGGCAAGAGTTGATAAGAGAAGACCAAAATACATCAGTTATCTAGTCTTCTGTTAGGCCTTCGGTATGGTCCAACACAATTTCTTAATCTCCAAATTGAAGAGACATGGATTCGATGGGTGGACCACTCAGTGGATAAGGAATTGGCTGGATGAATGCAGCCAGAGTTGTGATCAATGGCTTTATGTCTAGGTGGAGGCCAGCAATGAGTTGTGTCCCTCAGGGCCCTGTCTTGGGACCAGTGCTCTTCATCAGTGGCACAGACAGTGAGGTCAAGTGCACCTTCATCGTGTCTGCAGATGACCTGAAGCTGAGCAGTACAGATGGCACAAAAGAAGGACAGGGTCACTTCCATGGGGACCTGGACAGACTTGAGAAGTGGCCCATGAGAACTTCCTGAAATTCAATAAGTCCAAGTGCAAAGTGCTGCACCTGGTTCAGAGCAATCCCAGATATAAGCACAGACTATAAGAAGTCATTGAGATCAGTCCTGCAGCGAAAGACTTGGATACTCTCAGGGATGAAAGCTGGGCATGACCAAGAGTGTGCTCTCATAGCCCAGAAACCTGACTGCATCCTGGGCTGCCTCAAAGGAAGCATGGCCAGCACATCAAGGGAGGCAGTTCTCCCCCTCTACCCTGCCCCATGAGGTCACCACCTGGAGTACAGCTGAAAAGAAAGATATGGACCTGTTAGAGTGGGTCTAGAGAAGGGCCATCAATATGATCAGAGGAATGGAGTACCTCTACTACAAAGACAGGCTGACGTTCTGCCTCAGCAGGTTGGAGACAATCAAAAATTGGAGACCCCAGAGAAGGCACAGTGCTTTGGGCACCTGAAATGCTGCCTGCCTCCCTTGCAGTCCTGCTCTGAGTCCAAATGGCTTTTAATGCTGCTTTTCAATGAATCTGAAGGAAGTAACCTTATCAAAGCCTTACCACAGGACTCTGCAGTGTATGTCCTACTTGGACTCCCTACTCTTCTTCTGAAAAAGAAATGTCACTTAAAAATTGTTAGCAATAGGTAAATGGCATGGCAGGGTAATGAGATGGCACAGGAGAGTGAATGCCGGAGCGCAGAATTCAACTTTAACACACATGGAGGTATGGGAGGAGGCCCACAGGGAACCACCAGCTGCCACAGGACAACTTATCCTGGAGGGTTATTCAGGGTTCTCTGAGATGCCGTGCGCTCTGTAAGTATAGATACCCTCCTGGCCCCAAAGTAAATATGTATCTGTAAAAATACTGCGCATTTCATAGGTGACATTGCTGAAAGGAACCATGTCTGTCAGTGTTGTGCTGTGTTTGGGTAGCCCAGAGACCTGAGAGATGCTGCACAGCCTGCTCTATGAGGGGCTTTATGGCAAGATCTTTAAATGTCCTGGCCTCTCCATGCTGATATTTAAAGGTCAGTTGTATTCTGAAAAGTTATCTTGATAGGCATAGTGAAAATTTATCTTTGTAATCGTCAAATTTGCCTAGCTAACAACAGAATATGTTAATTTCCAGATGTGCCAGTTCAGGGTAAGTTCAGCAGAGAGAGCCAGAGCAGCTTTTTTTATGTCCTCAGTAGTAAGGTCTGTGTAAAAAAAGGCTTCCAATTCTGCAAATGTGACTGGAGTAGAAATGTGCTATCTTGGGTGGAGAAGTTCTGCAGCCTTAACTGGCATAAAATGTAACAAACCCTTATTTTAGTGAGTGAATTCCCCAGATGTGCCTGGGAATAAGTCAACTGACTACAAAAGATCTATTTATCCATCATGACTATTTAGAGTAAAACTGCACTTTGAAGTTTGGTAGGCACTTTCGCAATAGAGGGGTTTGCCCTGATGTCCTTGGCCAAAAATAGTGGCTTATTTTTGTCCTGCTAACACATGCCAGCTGGCTGCCACCCTCCATTCCTGACGCAGCTGCATTTCAGTTCTGCTGTTTATGTAAAGTTTGTGCAGTGTGATTTAGGGTCCTTTGGGATGAAATGTGCTATGTAAATATAAACTCTTATTTCCAATGTAGCCATTGAGGGCCTAATTCATCCCACCATGCAGAGGTTTACACCAAGACTTGGCCAAACAGATGCAGATCCCAGCATTGTCTGGCACCTAGTGGGTTCAGTCTCTGGAGGAAGCTCCCATGAGCAGCTTCTGGAAACACCACAGTGCTGCTCAGTGTCCCAGCACTCAGCCCCAGCTTGGCCCAGGCTTTGGAACATCTGAGTGGAAGACTTTTGAAGACAAGGTTTAGTTTAGCATTTTACTACATAAACTTATTGTTTGCTAGCAGACTGGAATCAGGATTTGGAGTTTTGCATATTCCTTCACACTAGGATAGTTTGGATCCATCTGGTTAATTCACCAATACAGATGGGCAAGTGATAAGGAATAGGGTGTGCTACAGCCGTCTAAGTGCTTCTCTTGCAAGGTCAGATATCCCCATAATTGGGATAATGTGCAAATGTATTGCTTTCACAAAGAAATAAGACCTGCTGAGGAATTGGGAGAACTGTGAATCTGGTCCAGTTTGATTATATCTTGCCATCTCTTGACAAGTATGGGCCTATTCCAGACTATATGCAACACATATCCATAATTCACAGTACACAATACTAAATGCAACATTTGCAACATAGCAAAGCAGATGATCTGCAAGATATAGCTGCCTATTTAAATAGTGTCCTGAATATCCATAAGAATTTCCATGTCACTTCAGCTGTAGATGGAGTGGAAAAATGTGGGGGAAAAAAAAAAAAAAAAAATTAAAGGCACAGTTTGAAAGTCCAGGATGGAAAACTCAGGGGTCTAGGATCACATGCCTGCCACAACCTCCCAGCAGTTTAGTCAGGGATGTTCAGCATCCCCTGACTGCAGCAGAAATGACATTGAATAGCAAGAGATTTCCCATAGATTTTAGAAGCTACAAAACATGGAGACAGAGACTGCTGAGGATCACCTTGTCAAAAGTCAAACACAAAAGGACACTTGTGGACTTCTGTCCCAGGCAAGAAAAATTACAATCAGAAGGAATTTGCTATGCCTGGTGTGAAATGCTGACCATTGCTCATTAGAGCAGGGAATTGAGGTCTGCTCTGCCAGTCCTCCTTGCTTCTGGGAACACCTTGGTCACCCACAAAGCTCCTTGTAAGGAGCATTGGGATACCATTTTAAAGATGACCAGACATCTTCTTCAGACAGGCTACTGGGACTTGACAAAGTGGGTGGGAATACTGCACCAAGAATTAAAACCTGGAGCTGCTGAATTTACAACAACCAGCAAGACTAACCTGAACATTGAAAAGGCACAGTAAATATAATCCAGATCTCCAGGCCAGAGATGCCATCCTGCTGCATTTATGGGATGATGCAGCCCACTCCAGCAGAACCTGTTCCCCTCCTGGAGATGGACTCACTTGTCTGAAGGCGGAGAAGACCATGCCCATCAAACCTGGATCAACCCCATCCCCAACTCCACCTGCTGTCAAGTCCCACCAAAGCCCATGTAATCATCTTTTGCAGTTTCCTTGAGCCCAACTGGATTTCCATTGGGCTCCCACAGTATCTGCTGGAAGGTGAGATCTGCTCCCTGTGCTATTCTCAACAGTGTCTCTTGTTTTCCCCTTGCAAATTCAGAGAAGGAGGGAAATTATTTGATTTCTTCAAAGGTGCCCAGGACTCTTTGAGGATACCTGATCCCAGGGAAGAAGATGGAAATGTTCTGTACCCTTTCCCATTTTCCTCTGTATCTCCATGCCCATTACTGCTGCACCAATCTTAGAGAATATTAGTTTAAAAGGAATTGCAGAGGAATTTGCAGAGGAGATTAGGAGACTATTTTGGGTCCAAATGTGCTCAGAACCAGTGAGGAGCAGAGATTGTCTGCAATGGTGATGCTCACAGACCCCCAGAACTGGGGTGACTGTGACCCCTGTGCTGGTCTTTTGGTTTTAATCTGGCGCTGTGAAACGCCAGTCAACCTGTCCTTCAGAAAAAAAAAGAAAAAAAAAAAAGAAAAAAAAAAAAAAAGTATTGCCAGAACCCTATCATATCCAGAAAGAGATGAAAGACTGTACTGCATATTACCTGTGCCTTGATGCTACAGAGGTTGCTGCTTCACTCACAGTGAGCACATCACCATCACTGAAATAAGGAACTGGTGCCAACATAACACATTTTTACCAAGTGCACAAAAGGGAATGATCTCTTTTAAAAAACCCCTCTTCCTCTTCCAAGAGCAATCCTAGCTCATTTTTTTGTCTCCAGGATTCCCTCTCCTCCTTACACTCACAATGTTTTTACGTTTTTTTCCCCTGTTTGGCAAAGAAAAGTTGTTGATCCTCAGGGGAGTTACAGGGAAGCAGACGATGTACCAGAGGCTGCCAAAGGGGCAGTGGTGTGTAGTTTGCCTGTCTCTGGTGTCAGCTGGGTTTGGGATGAGTCAGGAAGATAAGTTAGGTAACAAACAAGTGGGAGAGCTAATAGACCATGGCAAGGGTGCGTCCGCTGCTGACTCAGAGACCTAATCAATGCCTTATCATTTCTCACGCCTTCCAGCTCCAGCATCAAACTTCCAAGGGTTCTCATCAGGGGATTAATTCCTCCTTTTCATCTTCATCAGGAGCATGCACTTGAGCCCTCTGCGTGGGAAATAGACACATCTTCTCCATGTGGCAGAAACACCCAGCCATTGATTACACCCATCAGCTAATGGATGGACACGTATCCCAGCCAGTTGTACCTAGGTACAGAATGCAGATTTATTATTCTCAGTTGCAAGAACTATCAGGAGCCCAAGGAATTATTGGATATATTTTATAATGGAATAAAGAGAAAGGGAAATGGAACCTCAAAAGAAGAAGTACAGACATCCTGAAGACAAAAAGCAGAGGTACTTAGGAGGATGCATATTATGCTTAAACACAAGTCCATCAGCAGCAGCTGAGTCCCATGTCACAGAATAAGATCTTGAATATCAGAATAAGATAAGATTTCTCTTGGTGTCATTCTATGAGAGCTATGAAGATTCACCTGAAGATCCATTGTGAAGGCTGGAAGTCATGTTGTCAAATGACTTGTCCTGAGAAGAAAGGCACAGGATGAATTCTAGCCCAGTGCTGTGCACATGAACCTTGTTGTCTGGAAGGGAGCCATACTGCAGGACTCCAGCACCAGGCTCGAGTAGGGCCCTCTTTGGCTCCTTGGGGGCATACATGGGCACCTCCTAAGGCTCTTGTCTTGTCCTTGTCTTTTTCCTCACCTGCTCTCTGTGGCTCGTCACTCTGGGCAGGGTTATGGTGGTTGCTATTGCTGCTGGTCATTTCAGACAGACTTTTTGGTTCCCTCAATGTTTCTGACCCTGCCCCATCCTGGACACAGCTATAAATGATGTTCTTCTTCACATCTTGCCCCAGCTTTTGTTCTATTTTCTTTCCCTCTCCCTCAGTCTCCAAAGTGCTTGGCATATGTCTCATCTACTGGTGTAGGGCTCCATGGGATGCAATGGGCACAGAAGCTAATTAGTGACTGATGGATTTTAAATTTAACCTCATGGTGCAGCCATGCCTTGAATGTAAATAAGGCACGTGCTTTTGGGTGAACATGTGGGGTCCTTTGAGGGCACTTCAGAGGAGACCAACCTGCTGCTCAGGCCAGGTGAGACCTCTGCAAAAAACCTCTGAAATACTCAGAAGACTTAATGTGTGCTACTCACACAGTGCTTTGAAAACTTCCCTCAGTGCTCAACTACTTGCAGCAGCAGAATTGCATGAAAATGTGAAAAGTGACAAAATCACTATGAAGCTTTAGAAAGGGTTCTATAGGCAAATTTGGAGGAGTTGGTGAAGCTTTTAAATGACATCCATTTCTGACCCCCTTCTGGCCCAATTTACTAAAAGAAATTGAGTTTGAACAAAGGGAGTAAAATTAAGGAAAAGATGCTTCTAAAGTGAAGTTATTAACAATAAATAAAATGAGAAAACAAATCAGGATAAAGTAAGTGCATCAAGATGATCTCAATAATCTCAACACAAAACCAGTTAATCCTTGTAAGCATTAAGAGAGGCTCTTCAGGAAGCAGCTGTCCCTTTGGTTACAAACACACTAGAATCAATTTAGCATAGAAACTGGAGCTGCTTAAATAGTTTACTTTTGAGACATTACTTTCTAATGTTCACATCACAGAGCCAGTTATAAAGCTCCCGTCTTAGATTTCCATTCTCACATAGAAGGTAACCCTTTCCTTCCCTCTGCCGGCAGATTCCAACCCATGACAGATTTCAACAGAACTCTAATAAACAGACTTTTGATAGGTCATATTAGCCAGAAACGATCTGGTGCACTGACAAGGGCTCTTTTAGCACAAAATTTTTCTTTATGTGCCAATATTTCCATCTAAAATATTTCCTTCAGAGTACAGATTTTAGGGACAAACACATGCCCGCATGCACTCAGCAATGCTTTTATAGCATAGAGTGAAGTCTAAGAAAGTCCAGAAATTTCCCAGACATCAAACACAAACAGCAAACATCAATAAAGAATCCATTTCCCAGAGGACTGGGCCTGGAGCTGCAGTTGTGGATGCAGCAGATGTCCTGTTGGCTCAATGCTTCTCCTGCACAGACCTTGTTTGGGCGCTGGCTGGGAAGCAGGAGGCAGGGACAACATAATCAGCAGAGTTTTGACAATGTCTCTTTAAAACCACTAGATTTGGGGGGACTGGAGAGCCAGTCTTCTCTCAACAGGCTCATTGACCTTAAGGTGAAATATCCAGACTGGTCCTTTGGGTTCGTGAACTTTGCTTACTCGGCCTGCTGACACCTCCCACCCCTGGCTGCAAGCAAATCTGCTGCAAGGACTGATTTGAAGCTACCCCAGACCTGAACTCAGCAAGTGGCAGGCTTGGGAAAAGTCCCATTTACATCCACAGAATAAAAAGCATTTGGTGCCTTACAGAGCAGACACTGTACGTCTGCAAATGTTTCCCTAAGCCTTCGTTTCCCTTCCCTCTCCCCTGTTTTGTAAGTAAAAAAAATTAACATGCAAGATGTTTCCTGAAGATTTTGGCATACTCTTATCTGGATAAAAGGTCTCATGATGACTCTGTTGCCAACTTATAGAAATTTCAACACAAAACTATTCTATAAAAATAGCCGCTTGCCAGGGTTTGTTTGTTTTCATCCCAACCACTGCTTGACATTCCCTCATCTGCAAAAATAAACGTGTACAATTTATTACTTCTGTCATCATTTTTCTCCTAAAGAAGGCAACTTACAGTCAGCGTTCTATTTTGGAAATAAGCTAGAAGTCAAGCAGTTTGTCTCCTGTACAATTTGAGAGTAGCAAAACTTGCTAGTTATTTCTTTGCTGACTTAGCCTCTGAGCAGTGCTGGGCATGCTGCCTGAAGCTTCCACAGCTGATTCCGAAACCTCTTGTACCCCTCCAAGAGCAGAAGGAGTGGCCTTGGGGTTTCCAAGGGGCTGGGATCTTACCGCTATCCCCTGAGGAGACCAGCCAGGCTGAAGGGCAAGGGACAGGGAGCAGGGGCTGAGCCCAAGGGTGATGCCTCCTATTCCTGAGCACAACCCTGTTGATGGGCACTGAGCGGCAGTGAGGCAGGGTCACCCTGTGCCCCATTGTGAGGGAAAAGCAGAGAGAGACAACAGAGCCATCATGTTTCCCCCTCCACAGCTGGCTGCCCTTCTTTCCCACATTTTGGAGAAGCAGTGATGATAGCACCACTCCAATACTGTCCTTATACTACAAAGTAACAAAAACGTTTATTCTGTGCTCTGCAATCCTGCGTTCTTGGTCTTGCCCTGCAGGATAGAATCCTTGTTTCTCATCCAGACAGCTTGGAATCTGAGGGTGATCAATTCAGTGGGTGTGGGAGGACACCCACTTTTCTATCCTCCATCACAGACTCATTTTGTGATGAGGAAAAGATGTCCAGAGCTACAGAGAAGTGCTCAGTTGGCTCATCCTTTGAAAACCAGACCCTAAACTTTTTGGGCCTGAGCTCTCCATCTCCAGTTAGTGAAAGAAACACTTCCCTGTTTCCTGTTGAGAAAAGTATTCAAAACTGAGGAGCACTTGGTGGCGGGGACAGATGCTCCCTGTAACCTGGGCTTTACTGCCTTAGAGTGTCTGAGTGCTCTTGGTGGGTCAGGACACCCACACTGGTGGACCCTGAGCCCCTGCTGCCACTCTGGCTTTGTGGGGGCACGGGGAGCTGAGGGCTTTGGCTGGGTGAAGCAAGGGCTGGAGGTGAGCTTCACCCAGGGCTCATGGCAAGGGCAGCCCCAGCAAGAGGAGGCAGGCCCGTGGCTTCCTCACACCAAAGAGAAGGGAAAGAGAAGATTCAGACCCAGTTGCCTGGTATAAACGTTAAAGGGATTTTGCATGCTTATATTTTTTTCCTCAGAGAAAAATTATGCTGCTTTGGGTTGCCATGGTTTCTGGTTTCCCTGGTTACCTCTCAGTATGGAGTAGGGGATGAGAGGTGAGGGGAGGGAAGGAGGAGCCAAAAAGACAGGGGCCAATTATAAAGATCCTGAGCAAGGCAGATGATGTCAGCAGGCCTTTTTTCCCGGGAAAAAGAATAAAAATAATGGATGTTTCTCAGCAAGGATGGTGGCTGTGTTTTGCACCCTTTGATGTTTTATAATTCAAAAATGGAGAGAAGATTATACAACAAAATGAATCCCCAGTGATTAAAGAACTACAGCCCAGTGTTTAGTACCTCCTTAAACTTAGAAGCAAGAGGACCACTGGTGAGAGAACCATGATGGAAAATAAGAAATCACAGCAATAGGAGTACCTGGGACCATGTGCAGATTGGCAGGCAAGGCCAGGCTGCTGGTAATGGCTTTTGCAATGGACCATTGCAGCCAGGCAGGAGAAAAGTGTTGATGCAACTCCAGCTCCAGAGAGCTCCTGCATAGCACTCCTGGCCAGCCCCACCTGCAGAGCCTCATGTGGATCATCCCCTTCCAAAAATCAACAGGACAATGTATGCAAGAAAGGCTTCCTTACATGGCCGAGTCCCCAGTCCTTAGTGAAAGTCCCATGCTGTTTTCAACTGGTCAAGCTTTGAGTAAGGACTAAACCAAGCCTGTGTAAACCCTCTTTATACAACCACATGTTTCAGTGGTTGGACAAGAAATCCAATCTGATCCCAGTGGCAGGGTGCCAATAATCCTATCACCTTTCTCTTAATATCCTGTGACTCAGTGATATATGTCAGGCCATTTAAACCCCAGCAGCAGAGTTCAGGTGCTGTGCCAATTATACTGAGTGGATGGGGAGATATGCTAGTTGAACAAGAAACAGGTCAGAGGAACGATTTAGCTAATAAATTATATTAATGAAAAGTTCTTTTGGGAGCTGTTTGGTTTGTAGTTCTGTGGAGCAGAAGAGGGTCAGCAGGAGCAAAGAGAAAAATGGGAGGACCTGGCAGTAGACCTCAGCAGAGCAATGAAGGGGCAACAGAGAAGATGGGAAATAGGATGAACAGAGCACATCTGGTCCTTGTGGCACAGACCCTGCTGTAATGGCACTGAACAGTCTCCACGTGGCACAGAGGTGCTTGGGCTAGCTTGTGTTGAGGACAAGACTGCTGCCCTAGCTGGGCTTCTCTGCCCAGGTCAAAATGGACAGTTTCTCATCAAGGCTACTTAGCTGGGATTCAGTGTCTAACCAGCACAAGCAATACTGGCCTCCAGCCCAGGCAGTGGCTCACTTAGCACTGGCCATCTTTGTACAGCACTTCATTCACCCCATAGAAACATCTACACCCCTGTCCAAAATCTGCTCATGTCAAATCTTTCCAGTGCTGGGCTTTGAATCAAATCCAAGTCTGGTGTCTAGATATAGAGTTAGAAAAAACTGAAATCACTGTCAGGAGCACATAGAATCCTTAGGCTGCCTTCATTCCAGCTCACTTTGTAATGATTCTTAAGGACTACTTTGTTGCATTC